ATACATGGAATAAGGTTAATGAAGGAAAAAATGAGAATGTGGCATACCATTTATAACCACCAACAGTGAATATTTTGGAATAAAGTTTCTTGCTTTTTAATGTCGAAAAATTCTCGATTCTCCATGTGAATTTCATTGATAGAGTATACTCAAGTTGCTGATTCTCACCCAAAAAGTTCACAACTGTACGACTCCGCTTGCAACTACTAACCCAAAATCGATGAATCAGTATAAAACCTCAAAATCTTAATCAATCTTGGATCAATCTTTGGCCAAAGTAAAAAAATTAAAAATTAAAAATCTGAACACAGAATTATTAAAACCCCAATTGAAATAGGAAGGTAACATATAAAATTAAACACACCTTTTGTAGGCTGAGGACTCTTCAATAATCGGATATCGTTGTGAGGCCGATCAGGATTTCGGAGAATCAATGAAGGAGAGGGAGACTTTGACACTCAATTGGGGGAGATGAAGTACCGGACACTGCCACACTGAATTAGAGTAGAGGAAGATGTGGGATGCAAAGGAAAGGAGAAGAAGCAAATGAGATTGAGACACGTAAATGATAAAAAATACAGAAAGTAATTCGCTAGAGGAAGGGCTTGAACCTTCGACCTTGTGGTTAACAGCCACACGCTCTAACCAACTGAGCTACTCCAGCTGAGTTGCACGCGAGAAAAATATATACTTTATATAACATAACAAAGAGAAGCGGTGAAGGATGTCCACAAACAATCTACGTCCAGAAGGAATTTTGCATAAATCATTCAGGAGGCTTTTTCACGTACTAGGATGGGTAAAATAGGATTTGCCACGATGTGAAGCAAAAGCATTCAGATTAAGAGCTGATCTCCTTTCAATACTCACATCACAGTAATTTACGAGTTGACTTCATTCATTAATACGCAATGGTGTTCTCTCTTTTAACAAAATGAAAGAAATAGGGGACTTTTTATTCCGTTAGTAGTTGGTTTCAGATCTTTCTTGGGAAGTATTAGTAAATTGTTCCAACATTCTTAAAAATGAAAAACCAATGTACTGAACCGCGCATATTTATCAACAGAAAAGTGTTGCTATCACTAATTATTTCATGGTGAACTGGTTCAATTGCCAAAATACAGCCCATTTACAATGCTCCTCTTCATACATTACAAATTGCTTTGTTTGTAAATTTCTTTTGTTCATGTCGAATTGTGTCAGATTTGCTATAGAATGTCCGTGAAACTGAGCTTCATCTGAACATAATGGCACTGACTGAGCTTCAAGGATGCACGTTTACCATGCCTACAGGCTTGACATGTATTTGTTATTCATCCCTGTAGGAATATTGCCATTATATGCCTGGGTGACCTAGAAAGAATCTGCTTAAAGTAATGCATTCAAAGTACGTACCTGCTGGGTCATGAGAATTTCAACTGCTATGTTAAGATCCCCATCAGCAGCAGCCAATGCAACTTCAACCTGCGTCTGAAACAATCACGGTGCATTGGCATCACTATCCCTAACTCTAATATGTGTTTGTGTGCATATGTGGGACACACTTGGCATTCCAACTTGTGCCCTCACTACCATCTTAATATGAAACATAATTATCATATGAAGCAAGGATAATTCATCACATGACTTGTAGAGAATGCTCCTAAAGAAAGTCATGTGCTCTACAAAGACCCTCCAGTAGTGACAAAGAAAAAGAACATCTTATTACATGATTATAGAACATGAAAACCATAAATAATCTGATTTTTACCCTTTACCGCCATTAAGACAAAAAGGTGAAAAGCTTACCCTTTCAAAACCCATTGATACAAGTTTCTGGATCTGTTCATCAGATGCAACAGCAACCTGTTGTATCCACAAACATGAAAAGGAAGTTAAAAAAATCTTTTAATAAAAAAAACTAACATCAAGCTGAGCCCTGAATTACAGCAAACCTGAGGATTTGCAGTGCCTCCTACCCCAGCTGCTACCCTACCGTCGTCCACTGACCACCTGAAACAATAAATGACCATTCACTTATAGTAAATCAAAGGATGATAAAACCTTATTCCCATCCAACTAGAGCTAGCTTTCATTTGCAATCACAACTTTTAAGCCACAACAGCCCCAACTTCAAAATCCAAGGTAGCTTTTAGATAAATTTCAATACATTAAGTTTGGTAGACAATGGCAGCTTTCATTTAAACATTTAAAAATATTTTCCTAGAGTTAACATTGCAATATAAAGCTGTATTCTCACTGAAAATAACTACAGTAAGATGCTGACAATGGTGACAGAAGCAGGTCAACTCAAAGCATGGCCTGTTTGCATAGAAATTCAAAGGTGTGGGGTTTGGGTGATTGGAATGTTTTTAAAGACCCAATAGAGAACTTACAATTCATAGAAATCACTTAATCATCATTAAAGTTGTCAGGCAGTAGCTAAGATCTCTCAAGCAGAAATGCAATGATATTGCAAGAATCAGATAGTCAAAGCTTCTGAAAGTTTCTCTGCATACCTTCCATCTGAGTGTGGCTCTCTAGCACCAACTGCAGCAACATCTGATGAGCGATTGGGGCTACTATTGTCCAAGAGTCTAGCTTGTAGGCTTGAATCTGAATTTGCAGAAGGAATAGTTTGATTTTGACTAGAACCAAGCGTCCTCCCTCTCCCAGGAAACCTAAGACTGTCTTCAGTTGACTGCATGTACCAAGAAAAGATCATGCTATTATTTTACCACCTCAACCAAAGGTGTGATATTACAAAGCTCAAGGAACACACAGGCAAGAATAAGTAATGAAAATAGATACGATGCATATTATTTTTTTTTTCAGTCCAATGCATTCCAGATCATTAATGATCCAGAACTTCAAAGCTATTGATCAAGTTGAATTCAGGGCCACAGTGTAGTATGACAATGAATGGAAAGATTTACATTAAAAACACCAAATACTTTCCCAGTGCGTGCACAGGTTCAACCAGAAGAGAAATTACTACATATGTTTCAGCAAATTGAATTTGTCCAAATAGACCCTTAGCTAGCTCACCACTTTAACAGGACAACCATAGCCAATGTCATTTCAATAAAATATATAAAAAATACTAATTTGAGCATTATTAAAGACCATCAAGGTTGCCAAATACCGGCGTAGAAGATGACCGCCTCTGTGGCATCCATGAAGATAAGTTACTCAAAATGTTGCCAGAAAATAGTCCACTGTTTAAAAAAAAAAAAAACAAAAACAAAAACAAAGTAGTGATCAGATAGATGACCTTGTATTCTTGGAAGAGAAGCAGACATATTATGGTATGAATGAACCTGGAAGGTGTATTTTGACCAGCATAAGTGGCGATATAGCCTGAAGGATTTCCACCAGAGCACAAAATAAACTTAGGTCGCCTCACACAGCTAGCCTGAAGAGGATCATATACACATTGTAAATTGATAAAGTTATGTAAAGGAATCTTAAAAGGATCAAAGTGCAATCAAATTGGCAAGAGAAAAATGTAATGGTTCAGAGGATTTGACCGCCAAGTCAAACGGTAAAAGACATTGTGTAGTCAAGGTCAAAAAGTTAGCATGAAAGGCTTCTTTGAGAGAAAACATACAAGAAGTAATACAAAGTTTCTAGGTTAACAAGGTTTTACTGACTATTGCAGGGCTGGGGAGGAATAAAGAGAACCAATCCTAAATATTTAAGAGCACAACTGCTTGAGAGAAGGTCCTTGGTTAATAGAGCTTGAGTTCTCAAGACACAAAATAACCCGAGTTCAAACCCAATTTAAATTCAATATCCACCATATTGGATATCAGACTAAGCTCAAGTAAAACTTGAATTTTATGAACTTTTTCTTAATTTGACTAGCTCAAACTCAGGATTATGCTCATTTAAGTCATGAGCCAAGCTCACAAGCTGAAAAAGATAATGAGATCTCGAGCAATTATATAGAAAAGCAAATTAGAGGGAAAACTCATCATTGCATGCAGCACTATAGTACTTACAAGAAAAGATGAGGACTCAATTGCAGAGTAAAAAGATGGTCCAGGTATGACAAAATTGAATAAGCCATAAGTATCTGAAAACATAAAGAAAACCAAATAAATTTCCAAAATTAAAACATAATACAGCAGAAAACAGAATAAAAGTGAAAGCTCCAAAAAAAGGACCTACATGCAAAGCCAGACAAAATGCCACAGAGGTGTCCAAGTAATGAGACATTTGTCATAAGAAGTTGGAATACAACCAACAAGATCCATGCATACCTGAAACATATATGCTGTTAGTCAAATGGGAAGGTGTGGCTTTCCTTCCATGGGGCAGGTGAACCAAATATCAGTAAAGCAACTCACTTACCATTTAGCAGGCACATTAAAGAGACCAAAAAAGCTGAAGAAGGAAAGAAAAATATAAATCAGTTACACAACTGTCATATTGACCAGAGAAAACAGCAAATACTATACTGCAGCTAGATTAAAAATATGAAGAGATTAAGAATTTGCACATGCACGTGATGTGAATATAGCAAAAGTTATTTGGATTCACTGTGGATTCACATACACATACATGCATGTGCATTTTTATTGGAGAAGAGAAAATTGGGTAATGAATAGTTATTCACTGGAGAATATGAAAAAGCACCAGGAATTGCCACTACATTATTATGGTGGAGAAAACCAACCTCCTTGATTGAGCACCACTCAGACTTGTCTCTATCACGATCATAGAAAATAAGATTCCTGAGAAACCTATAGCACACTCGCGCATGAGAAATGGAAATGGGTGGAAAGGATTATGGGCTACCAACAATGCAATAACAAGATGAAATATTGCATTGCTTGTAGCTAACAAAATTATCATGTAGAACAAGCGGATAGATCCCATGATTCTCTCAAGTTCAGAACCCAAAGGAACCAAAGCCAACATGTTGAACAGAACATGTAACAGTGAACCATGGAAAACTATTGAGGTATAAATCCTGTAAACTGCAATGCAGCCAAAAAGAGTATTGTTAATTAACTTTCTGAAAATAAAAGGGACAAATATTAAACATATGTGGTGCCAAAACAATAAATGAGACATATATTTCTCAAATCAGACATTGTATTTAGACCAAACTTCATTTCAAATTGGCAATTGAAATCATCAAACTATTGAATTCTAAGAGGCCAAAAAGGCCAGCCATGTATTCTTGAAGGTGAGGTGTAAGAAAAAGATTAACATTGGACAAGGCAGTCTTTAACAAAATGTTGAGACAAACACCTTGACCAGGCTCCTCGGTCAAGGACCCTGTTTTACTTGGTGCAAGACCTTCAGCAGGCTCCTTCCAACCCGGCCTAACTAAAATGATACAGTGGTTTGAAAATTTTTCCTACATTCCTTTGTATCGAACACAAACAAAGCATTTTATAACAAAGAAATTATCATTCATTAATTTGGGTCAGGGTTGCAATATAAAGGCAGCAATATATCCTCTGATACTATACGTTGTCAAGTCTCACCA